AAAATCAATTAAAAAAAAAAAAAAAGAGCCACCCCGCAAATTTTGGATGCTCAAAATAGTTCACATATACTCGAATCAGTGAGGATACAAAGGTTTAATATTATATAAAAACGCAAAGCAACATTAGAAGCTACGGTGTAGAAGCCTTCGCGATACATAAACTCTAACAAACTATCACCATGCCATAGAGCAAAAAATGTAGGATATCATGAAAAAGACTTACTTGAGGTATAACCTTTACACCTGCTTGATGAGCCTGAAGTACGAGATCTTTCGAACATTCACCCCAATAAACTTGCAAAATCGCAACTCTTTCCTCCAATATGGCCTTTATGTTCTCCTCATGAGGAAAAGCTAGAACAACAGCTACCCCGAAAGGTTTATCGGTCAAAGTCCTAGTTTTCCTTATGAGTTCTTTCACATAATCTGGCGCCTCCTGTTATGCGAAAAAAATAAATATGGGACCGTTACCAAAGGGATCAGCAAATTACCGAAGATACACATCAAAATGATGATAATTAGCTAAAATTGCAAGAACTGAGGGAGATTACAAAATTTCTTCCCAATTTGCACAAAAGAATCCACACCAAGACAAGACAAGATCGCAAGATCATGGCGCAAAAAACAATCAGCAAGCTCAATATCACGCTATAACACACTTTATCAACAACAAACAGCAGTAAGAAATCAGTTAGTGTTACCCAATCAGGGGTTCTGAGAAAACCAAGACCACCAGCATTAGCAACAGCGGCAACGAGCTCTGGGCCCGAAATATCGGGCCCTAATGGCGCCTGAACAATCCCGTACTCGAAACCCAATATCCCTCTCCAACCCATCTCTCCTCTCTCTTTCTCTCTCTTTCTCAATCGTAAACTTAGAATCTTTACCTACAACATATACTGATAGAAAAAGATGATATACACAAAGTGCGGTGGAGTTATATGGGACAGGGTATGAAGAAAAATTGAATTCCACTTCCAGAAATAATTGAAGAAGTGGGCCATGGCGGAAAAAGATGACGTGATTTGTCCGGAGACTGGCTTTTTCCGCCGCCGACTAGCGCGTCACCGATTCTTCCCAAAGACTTCTCCTTGGGGCAAAGTCACAGACTCAGGCGAGTCTGTTTAGAGAGATGAATAATCGTCATTCGTGGATAGCAACTTCACCAAAAGGTCCAAAACGCTAGTGACAATTGAGTTGTGGAAGGGGACGAGAATTCTGTCTTAAATGAGAATGAGAATGAAAAACGGTACATTGCCAACTTAGGGGTGTATTAATTTATTATTTTAAAAGACTTTTTTAGGATTTTATAAGGGTTAATTGTAGGAAAAATTCTGACTTTTGCTTAAATTGCAAATAAAATTCTACCTTTTTAATTTGGCAAAAAAATACCAAATTTTTTATAATTTTTGCAATTGTGTCTTGAAGTCACATTCCGGCCAAATGACGTTGACATGGCATGTCGTTAAATTGACGTGACACCGGTTTTGTGACGTGGCAATCAAGGAAATACACCTGGAGAAAAAAAAAATCAAACATATAAATAAACTATC